TAGTATATTCATATATATATATATATACATATATATATGTATATATATATATACATATATATATATATATATATATATAACTGAGTTCAGTATGCCGTACACAGGGGCACGAAACTGTCAGTCTGAATTACAATGACCAATTTATCAGCGATTGTCGAGCAGTCTCTAAAAAGCCTAAAACCTTAGAACCCTAAACAATACTCTCGTTGATGGTCAAGTGTATGTACGCACGCACACCTGCACTCATATACACGCGTAGCGTTATGATTCGTTTATTGAAGTATGTGGAAAGGTATGTATTCGAGGCTTTTCTGTGCATTTAAACAGAACTTGGTACGTACATAGAAACATATTTTGGTAGGTAGGTAGAAACATGATCTGGTCTTGTCTATTGGATTCATACGGCGGGGATGGACATCCAACCACAAACGCTAACACACAGTTGTTCCGTGCCCGTCAAACGCAGACACCTATCCATGCATACATCCGCTAACACCATTCAGCTTACAAATATACTTTAGCGTTGATATCATTCAACTGACAAATAACCTCTCCTGTTCGTTGCACATATAGGAGACCAAACCTCAATGCCGCACTGAAAGCGCTCTCTTCGGACGAGGCACACAATGCACAGATGGAGGTGGACGCAGGCGTGTTCTATGTCAGTCCCACACACAACAAATATGACTTCCTCCATCCAGACGGTGCGGGCCAGGACATTGCCCCGTTCCACGGCGTGTGGTTCTGCGGTACGTGATATATATATATATATTGAGTGTGTGTATGTGTGTTTAATATATAGGTTTGATGGGTTGTTGGGTGTTTGTGTATGTATTTTGTATGACGACAATTACCTTGGTATATATTTGTTATTTCTTTGTAGACGTTGTAGTCTGCTTCTTTCCCCTTTGGTCACAGCCCCTGCACTCACATGTAATTTATTTTTTGTTTTAGGTGGATTCAAAAATGAGAAGATCAGAAATGCCGCCATCACGCGGCTGCTGAAGGAAAAGGGCCGCGATATCACGGTACGCTATACTGCACCTATTCTCCGACTATCTTTTATTGCGATATGTAACTGCACCTATTCTCCGACTACCTTTTACTTCCATATGTATACTTGTATATCTGGAGTTCGGAAACGTTTACTTGGTTATGTATCATCGAACTCGTGCGCGTTAAAGGGTATATTAAATCAGAATCGGCCCAACGCTTGTGTGTCGAGGTGCTATGTGTTTATACATGCTTGTGTTACAATATACTAAGCCGACACACCCAACTACTATGATGCACTGGTGCGTTATTAGCTTCATATTCAAATGTACATGGCAACCTCGACGTGGTGGTTGGCGTGGCCTTTTGATCCCCCACTCCACTCTACTAATACCAGTGGGCGAGAATAGCATCTACTAGTTAATCCCTACCTACATAGTGCATTGTGGTCATAGTAAGGACCCCTTATCCCATAGATATACTATTTCTACGCTTAAAATGAGGTCCTATCGTCCCAGGGTTTTAGGGTTCAGGACTGATTATATGCATACGTATCAACTTCAGGTGCTCAAGAATTTAGAAGAGGCGCAGAATGTCGGCCTAGCACGCACCAAAGAACAAGCGAAGGAGCGAATGGAAAACAATCCAAAGCAGAAAGCCCTCAGAGACGAAGCACGCGCCCGCAGAGACGATGACGAGTGGCAGAAGGCCAGGATCAAACGCAAGAAAATCGCCAACCGCAAACATGCCAAGTATGTGGTCTATGGTTCTGCTGTTGGATGGGCGTTGCGGGGGTATATGCGTGTGACTAGAGCGCAGTAAATTGCCTTGCGCCTGCATGCGATCGCTGGCAATGTAGTGTTGTATTATTAATGTATATGCATGTTCGATGTATTGTTGTATTGTTGTGTGCGCATGTTTGCTCTTCTTTGTGTGTTTGTGCCGTGTTTACTATCGGCGTGTGCTGAGTGCGGCCGAGAGTGCTTGATCATTCTTAAGCACATCGTAGCACGTGCAATGTGGGTGTGGTTGTATCGTGGCATATAGGTACTGACTGCTAGACGCACGTAGAATGTTCTTCGTTCCATTTGAGCGAATCGATGGCTTTATGTACGTGCGAATGTGCACTGTGTGTTTTGGACTTCCTTGTGGTGCCAAGTATTGCAGTAGCTTGTTAGCTTATGAGTGCGGAAGTATGGTATGTAGACTTGTCGGGTTGTATACGAGTCATTGTTGTGTATGTGCGAATGTGCATGGCTGTAGTTGCGCTCTTCTTTATAGTTAACATCGCACAGACACCGTAGCTAAGTAGCTCGTTGCATTACTACATCTCTCAGGTACAATGAAAATCCTGAAGCAGTGGCAAAACCCGCTGCTCCTGCAGGCGTCGAATACTGTCGACACTTCTTGTCAGACAAGGGTTGCAATAGAGGAGCCAAGTGTAAATTCCCACACCCCCCTTAATCCGACAGGAATATTCATTTTTATTGCAACCTTCTTGATATTAAAAGCTCTTTACCGAATATAAAGCGTACGCATCCTATTTTACACATCTGAGGTGTTTAAAACCTTTGTACACCTGAAGTGGCAGTAGAAAGATTCGAAATCAAGAACACGTTAACGCCTGGTGGGAAGTTGTCTGCACCTTTATTTGGCTAGATCAATTCCTTCCCTCCATGCGACAATTTCGAATTGTGAGTATTATCAGTACCACCATCGCATTTGTTGCTATCGATTTGCACAAACGACTGCTGTGTTGCAACCGTGCACGTGATTGCTAAAGATCATGGCTATCTAACTCTGATAGCGAGGATATCAATGATCGCCAGACTCATTATTTGTATGGAAACGCCAAGAATGTGCGTTTAAATACAGCAGACGTGGCTACAGATTATATTTATATATATGTATGTATATATATATATGTGTGTGTCTGTCTGTGTCTGTGTCTGTGTGTGTCTGTGTCTGTGACTGTGACTGTCTGGGTGTGTGTGTGTGTGTGTGTGCGTGTATATATATATATATATATATATGTATATGTATATATATATATATGTATAATGTATATGTATATATATATATATTGATTCCGTAGTGTTTGTCGTCAGGAAGTTGGAATGTGATATCCCATGACAGACTCAGGTTGATTCATATCTGATCCTGATAGAACTTTGAGCTATCAGTTTGTGTTTATGGCTCCTTCTTGAATTTCTTATGGTGCACAGGAGGACCAACCTGCCCCTTTGAGGGGGACCTAATTTGATCATATTTAGTAATTGTCGAATCCCGATTTTTACCACGGCTACGTCTTCGTCTCGTTATTCCCAACAGATATCTTTGGTTCAAGTTTTCATATATTTATATGGTTTTCAACAAGTCAGCCGATACAAAATCGACAAACATCGCCAGAAAAGAATGGGATTGTTCATGTACACATATACACATGAGCTTTAAGGTTTAGGATCTAGGGGGAATATAACGGGGTGAGTAGGGTACCTGAGCGGGTATGGTGTCATCTCAAAAATAAAATATATAAAAAATAGGCTATATTGAAATAGAATCGCCTGCCTCAGGCGAACAAGCTCAATTTTTTTTTTCAATCAGAAATAAGTCTTAAAACCTCCCAGAGATATTCGCGTTCGGAAATCGACCCAAAGGGACAGGGTCTTCCTTCTGTGCACCATGAAACAAAAGACAATTTCGTTTATGTTTTTTTAATTGCTTCATATTAGACTTTGATACTAACTCTAAGGTTACCCCAAGAATAAGTGACTGCCTGTATGTGGTAAAGATCTATCTCGCATCTAGAATATCCTTGTAGCCTTGCAATGATGACATGCAATATATGTAGTCGGAATGAATTACACCCCATATGGCTCCGGATTGGAAGCAAACTTTGACTATATTGCAAGAGATAGCGGTCGTAAGGAACGAGGCTTGTGTGCCTTCAAGGTTACCAGCGGACGAAATCGATGAGCTGCTATGATACGCTATGAACAGTGTGAGAGATTCGATCTCAAGGATAACCACATACATGTGTCATTTTACCGAATTGATTTCATTGCAGTTGTATTTAGCTCTCATCAGGGCGAAGACATTGACGCATTCTTTTCAAAATTCTGACCAGCAATTCAAAAGTTTTTCGGATTTTAAAATTGACCGGAAAGTCCCGGTCTTGGTTGTGTGCACCATACAGAAATGCAAAACTGTGATATGTATATGTTTTTGCAGGGGTCTATGGACTCTGGTACTTTTTGCCTACTCATGCTATATCGTCATGCCACTTCTTCATCATCTGTGTCGGGGGTAGCAAAGTCTACAACTCACGATTTAGACGTAAGACGGGAGAACAGATGGTTTGAAGGGCCTTCTGTCCCTCGCTTTCATACCATATGAATAGAAGCCAGAGAAGTCTTTATCTGAGCGAATGACATTTGAGAGTCTTGAATTTTCACAATCAGCGATTCTGCTATCAGTAGTGATAGGACAATCAGTGATAGTGATAAATTCTTAACGTCATTCCAGAACAAGATGAGATAACATAAATGATGATTAAAATCTGTGGCGACTTCTATTTTGTACTTCTGACCTATATTTAACATGCTATCTAGGCAGTCTTTGAATTCGATTTTGCCTCGTCTTAAGTCCAGAACTGCCTAAGGACTGGCACATGATCAAAACCAGATATCATACATAATGCATGTGGATATTAATGCGCCATAGCCAGCAGTTCTTGCTAGACCATATGAGCTACGCACAGTATCAGTATTTCCTCTTTTTGGACCAAGTCCTAGGAAAACCCACAACTCTATTGACAATTTCAAGGTGAGCGTACAAATATTATAGTGTGACTTACATTGCCAGTAACGCAGGATACTGCACGTTCCTGATCCTTAATCTTCACATTTCCACCCCTATTGTATGTTTTAAGTAGTGCCTTTAGCCTATCCCAAAGTCTAGAATGCTTATTATTCTATCTGTCTGGTTACGGGGTCCAGCGTGGAACGGTATGAAGCTCTTAAAGGTCAGTTCCTCCACGTTTTAGGTTTTAGGCGACCAGAGACTGGACTGCTACTGCCCCTGAGCAGAGAGAACAAATCCATTTATCACTAAGATCTGGCAAGCCGTGACTTGCCACCTGGGTGTACTTCGTACACGTGTATATTCTAAGAATTATTGCCCACAAGTCCTGAGTGCATTGATTCCTCCATGAAACCAATTCGCGGATCCGGCACAAGTTCGTCGTTGACTGCAGGAAGAATATTTACTGGGTTTTGTGTGGACACGTTCACTGATTTTGTTTCCCTGCTTCCTCACCATATCATATTGGTGTATGCATTTTTGTTCAAAATGGTGGAAGTTGGCATCAGCGGATCCAGAAAGTTCGATTTTGCCACTTTCTCTCGGGTGCGCTGGGACCAGCATATCTGGATACCGGCCCTCTTCTGGCAACGCCAACAACAGGAATCGACAAACAAAAGACTACTGCTAAGGGTAAGGACACCACTGCCGCTGCCAAGGCCAAGAAAACCGCTGCAGTACTATCGGCAACCGAGCGTTCTCAGTTGTATGCATCGGTGGTACAACTTTGCACCATGGAGGAAGAGGAACGAGCCGTGACGATGCTTCATCCAGACTATGCGTTTACTCGCTTTGGTGACGAACTCGAAATCTCGGAAACTCATATTTCTTACTGCAGCGCACCCCCAATTTGAAGTAGACGTATGCACCACTAATGCAAATGATGAATTGGAAAATTCCTGCGCGAGATATTTAGGGATGCATTATAAGCAATTCATTGGCAGCCATATACAAACTGAATTGGCTGTCGGGAGCCTTGGACTGGGTACGCCAAATGCATATCACAGCAGGGACAACTCTATACTGGACGTGGTCTCTATCCCTGACGAGGCTACCGTCAGAGCACGAGCACAGATTTAATTGCAGGACCGGCTGGGTGATTATGTTGACCAGCGGTCGGACAAGGTCTCCAATAGCCAGCTCAAGAGAGGGCGGAAGCAGCGTTCCCAGGACAACTGGGCACGCAAACGCGAAAGGGACCAAAGGAATGACAGGCTGGACAATGAGTAGTGGGACAAGGACCGATCGTATACTCGCTTGCGCTCGCCGCTACGGCAGCAATCGGCCTCGTCAAGCGCACCATGAGCAATCATGGATCATAAGCACCAACCTTCGACGTCCTCCTCAGCACAAACATCTACTGAGTCCAAGAAGGAATGCACCGCCCTATATGGGTGCATCAAGCAGGGGCATTCCTTCAAGCATTGTTCGGATAGAAAGAAGGCAGCTGCGGCAGTCATCTCGTCGGGTGCAAAGCTTTTTTTTTTGACAAGGACCGATAGTCCAGAGTTTTGCGGATGCGTGTGACGTGTAAGTTTACATGGATGTTGGCAGTGCTTTTAACTTTATTTTTGCCAACACCGTAAATAAAATATCATTTACTTATTATATATACTCGGGCTGCCATCGATGGTTGGTATACAAGGTACTGCTGCTATTCTCCTGTCCCATGCGGAGGGCTAGGGTGTTCGACATGAAAGGCACCCTCCATGTGGTACCAGGAATGGATCCATTATCACGTTGCACTTGTGGGCGCTATTGTGCACACATAGGCAGAGCACAATCTCAGGCTGGCCATTCTCCAAGGCGCAAACGTATGCGCCGCGAAGCCAAGCAAAGGAAACGGCGAGCCAATTATCAGAAGACTGATGCACCTGGTAGGGACATGCAGGGACTCCGCTCACAACTGATGTGGTGTTGTGCTGTGGCTTGGCCACGAAGTGTAATGAACAGCATGAGTGTAACTCCTCAGTTAACATATCGTCTCCCACGAGGGCAAGCGGACGGTGAGATGAATTCATTACCTAAGCACACAGGCAACTGTAAGATTCGGTCTATCAAGGCGAAATTAACGCCTTAGAGTAATTAAACACGTAGATAAAATCTAAGTATCGTGAAATTCAAAGTAAATAAACGAAATGAGACTTTTAGTAAAGTTAGGTTTGCCTCGTGAAAACAGCAATACTTTGAGGGATTGTGAGGCTGAGACATTGCCTATATATCCTCTCAGTACTGTTTTCGCCGAAGGGATTTTATTTAGTGTTTCGTTGTTGCTCTATTAGAAACTAGGGTATGTTTCGTTGGGGCGAATCAAAGAGACTCATAAAATCCTATCTTTAGAAGAAAAAAATACTTTTGATGTCCTTAGTTATTGCATTAACCAATAACTTGCCACTTATCAAGAATTACCGACTTAGCCTTCATCAGACTGGCACATCTGGTTGGCTAAACGGAGAATAAACTAGGTAACGTTAATAGTCCCTAGAAACCTAAATTCGGTTGAGCCATCTCGCTACCGAAGTATTCAGATATAAATAAATTTGGAAAGTAAATATAGTTCTATTAATAGAATTAGACCAACTCTTATGTTTGGTATTTTACTGGGGTCTTTTAATGGCCTCATCCAAATATCTGATATATAAAATGGAAAAGGTATTAATTACTAAAACCATTAAAGACCATTTAGAAATCTTAAGTTCTTCGTACTATTAAGAGTACGTTTATAGTTTACGTACTGCTTAAGAGTACGTTTATAACATAGCCTGATGTGGAGGCCCGGCTATTACACAACGAGAACCCAGCATGATTAGGACTAGAGGACCCGTGCCCCCAGCAGCCTGGTGTGGAGAATGGGGACACACAGTGATGAAGGGGAATGTATGCTTAGATATCCTGTTATCCTCCACAATATAAATGTGGTACCGGATAGAGAGGACGGATATGAGTCAAGGTATGACTCGAAGTAAGAAATCGGTACTGGACATAGACGGCCGATTCGGGTTGGAAGGCAATTCTTATCTTGGGGATGAGATCGGCAAGGCAATAAACAAAATTGAGGAAACGATACAACTTCTCAATTATTGTGCCTATGAGCCGGACAATCATCGATTTGCAAAAATCGTTCCCATCAACTTGCACCTGTTGCCAGGGATGCCGCCTACACGGTGTGGTCATTGTCCATACGTGATTGGCAACACACCCGAGATGCAAGTAACGTACGCAAAAGTGCAGCAACTGATGGCCCGGTACATAATAGTCCGGTGTGATTGTTAGAGTGTAATGTAGTAGACTTTTAATAAAGTTCAAATGTATGTATTTGTTTCTGATTTCATCTTTGCTTTTATTCCTAAAGTGTTTGTGCTTGAGAGAGTTTAGCCGCTTGGGCTGGCCAGGGTAAAAGCTCATATGGTCGATATGAGAATAGTTCTGCAGGATACTTTAACACATCCAAACTATTCTATTTCGACTTCTCTGCAACTAATGCTCCCGCTGATCACATAATACCTTTCCGCATAGGTCGTGACTCGCATAGGAACCCAGATATCGGTAGAATATTGCGATTTAAAAAGCTATTCAACTCGTGGGAGTCGGTTGAGAAACTAACTCTCTGGAGTCCGAAGTAGTAGCTCAACTCTCGGAAGTGGGTTAAGCAACCAGATTAACTCAGGAGTGAGCTAACTCTGATGATTTCTATAAATCGAACAGGGTTTTTTGCTGTAAATTCTGGTCTGAGACCTGTTTTCTCTCAGTGATGACGCTGGCAACCTTTGGCAGGTTATACAACTCAAGATGACGTGGAAAAGGGATGCCGGAGGGCATCGACGAAAGGTGCCAATTGGCTCCGATCGGTACTCCATTCCATCGAAGACGGAAATGTTTCAATTTTTCGTAAACAAATCGTAGGTGTCGGCCCTCGACTGCTGCAATGGAATCAATCAGCTTAAGCTGCTGATGAATCCTGCAGGATACTTTCATCTTCGACACCATGAGGCAGATTTTGTATAGGTATCCCCTTTGTGTGTGTGAGGCCTCCTAGCACTTTCAGTAGGCCCTGGCAGAGGTGTTTTGATACTTTAGGCCATGTCATATGGTATATTGACGATATTGTCATCGCCATTGACACGACACAAGACAATTGTGATGCACTCATGACCGATCTCCGCCGCTGCAGGAAGTAGAACATGCAACTCGGCCTCAAGAAGTATACTTCTGGCGTACAGTCACACTCCTGGGGCGTCGGGGGGATTTTAGGGACGTATCGGTGACAGACGAATGCCTCGAGGCGCTTGTCAAGCTCCGTCATCCGACCAACACGGATCTCGTGAAATTCTGATACCATGCTGTAGCGTATTGCGATAATCCTCAGTCTATAGCAAAGCTCCTGAAGAAAGATGAATTCTTCAAATGGGACACGGAGCATCAACCTGTGTTCGACATGTTCAACTCGGAACTGAATAAATCTTTAGCTACAGAGCAGCTCTTCTTATTTTGAATGCATCGGGGTAGGCGGGTGGTGTAGAAATACGGCCTCCGGTCAGTCTAAAATACCAAGATCAATTGAGATAATACATTGGTTTTTATTTGTATTTTAAATAATTTAATACAAGCTCTTTTTCCAACATTTCCAAAGTGTTCTAAAACCACTTTGATGGCTCCAATAGCCTGAGTATTTGGTATGACTCATCTACTTGGACCTGTTTGAGACATTAGTAGATGTAGGATATTATAAACTAAATTTTATAATCTCCGAACTACTACTTATAGATTTTGGTCCTCCCGCCAATCTCCAAAATCCAATAAGTCTTTTTCTTTTTTTAACTTTTCTTCAGATGGAACTTTATTTATATCAGCTAATGTATTTATTATGTCTATCTACAAATTAGGCATGTGGTCATGAGCACTTAGTACTTCTAGTGAAAATTATTCAATAAAGAACAGCTAGAGGTACGCCCTGTGTGATCGAGGATATTTAGGCTCTTAACAAGAGGCAGTCCCGATCATTCTTACACAAGCTACCACTGCTAAATCCTAACTGACTAAATTGTATTTTAGTTTAATATAGTTTGGAACCTAGTAATTTCCATCGAAGTTTACAGTGACGACATCAGGAAGAACTCAAAAAAACGTTGGTCCAACAAGGAGATCGCGGCAATGGCCCGGCGCCAATACTACTACCAACTGGTTATGGTTATGGGTAAACCGCCAACCTCAAACCGAGACACAGCCAGACACGACAGTTTCAATCGCTGCTTCGAGTCTACACCAATTCGGCTCTGTGCTATGATTGTAACGAATACGTACATGTTCACATTACTCGACTACCGCACCGACGGCTGTCTCTGCCCTGTCTGCCCCGGTAGCCACAAGTTCACTACCAGCCACTTTACCTGCATCCAACAACTGATTCGACGCATCCTGGTAGGCCCGAAACTGCCGTCCATTGGCCCTGACCTCCTTCAGCAATTACAGGAGTGCCACGACTTCCACGGTATCGGGACCCTCCACGAACACCTTGGATCTTTTTTCCAGCATGTTGAAGAACCACCGTAGCCTCACCCGTCCCTGACACATCAACAGATGTTCCCCATAACCCGGCTAATCATGCTGTTGAAGTACTACTTCCAAATATCGGTTCAAACCAAATCATCGC